GGCAGGACCGTGTCGGACTTCTCTGGCTAAGACTCCTGCTCATACGTATGATGAGGTGTTGAGGAGGTGTAGGAAATATATTAATCTCGAGGAGACCGAGGCGGAGTTTGGCAAACTAGAGGAGTTAGGTCGAGGGGAGTCAAGGAAGGAGAAAGTAGTTTCGCCTAAAAAGAAAGCCTCACCCAGGAGAGAGGGGCGAGCTAAGCAGGATCGAGGACGAGAGGACAGATGGAAGGACCGACCTATCTCTGGAGGGAAAAGATTCCATGATTACACCCCGTTGAACGCGAAGGTAGCTGAGGTTTTGATGGCCATGGAGAAAGGAATAGATGGGAAAGATGTGACGTGGCCAAGGTCGAGGTTCGAAGGGCCAACCCAACCCAAGTCGAGAAGATATTGCCGCTTCCACAAAGACTATGGCCATACTACTGAGGATTGTCGGCATCTCAAGGACGAGATTGAGCGCCTTATTCGAGCAGGGCATCTCAAGGAGTTTGTTTATCAGGATAAAGGGAGAAGGAAGGATAAGAGAAGGTGTCGGGAGGATTCGGTGGAGAGGAGCGAGGAAGATGATGATGAGGATGCACGAGGTGGTCGAGATGGTCGAAAAAGAGATGAGGGGAAAAGGAGGCGAGGAAGTAGGGAGCGGGAAAGAGAAGGAGATGGAGGCCAAGTGAAGAGAGGCACGATATATATGATTTCAGGAGGATCGACGGACGGGGATTCAAATAATGCAAGGAGAGGCCATGTTGGAGCAATGAAGAGGAAGAGGGAAGAGGTGAGTATCACGGCCCGAGTACCAGAAATCAGTTTTCGAGCAGAGGATGCAGCAGGGGTGGTGGTGCCTCACAATGATGCCCTGGTAATTACGGCCGAAGTTGCAGGTTTTGACGTAAAAAGTGTGTTTATAGACACAAAGAGTTCGGTCGATGTCATGTTTTATGACTGCTTTGTACAAATCAACCGGGAGTTGAATGTGGAGCTGAAGCCGGTGGCTATGGCCTTGTATGGTTTTAACGGCGGGGAGGTTATGCCAATGGGAGAAGTGACTCTATCTGTAGCATTGGGAAAGGGAGTGACTCGGAAGGTTCGAATGGTGAGATTTGTGGTCGTAGGGGCTGAGTCATCCTACAACATCATAATGGGGAGAACGAGCTTGAACGCGTTCCAGGCGGTCGTATCCACGTACCACATGACGATCAAATATCCGGTGGGCGAAAACGTTGGTGAGATCGTTGGGGATCAACTTACCTCGAGAAGCTGCTACCAGACCACTGTGAGCAACAATAAGCAACTAGCGAGGAAGCAGGTGCACCCAAAGGGGGATGAAGTTACTCGGCCGGGAGGGTCGAGGTCGAAGGAAGAAAGACATAAGCCAGAGAAGGGGAAGGAGAATGCCGAAATGCAGCCGGGTGGCGAAGTGGAGGAGATACAGATGGTCGAGGGGTGCGAAGAAAGGAAGTTAAGGATCGGGAAGGAATTGGAGGAGCCGGTGAAATCGAGGCTAATTAAGGTGATAAGAGATTTTGCGGATGTGTTCGCATACTCGACGGAGGAGTTGACCGACATCAAGGCCGAGGTCATTGAGCACCGGTTGAACATCGACCTCGCGGTAAGACCGGTGAAGCAAAAAAGGAGACACCACGGGGCAGATATGGATAGAGTAATCGAGGTGGAGGTAGAAAAACTCTTGGTGGCGGGTCACATAAAGGAGATCCAGTTCCCAGAGTGGCTATCGAACACGGTTATGGTCTCAAAGTCAGAGGGGAAATGGCGGATGTGCATAGATTTTCGAGATTTGAACAAGGCATGACCGAAGGATTTATATCCGCTTCCCAGGATCGACCAGCTGGTCGACTCCACAGCCGGGTGTGAGCTACTCAGTTTGATGGACGCATCCCAGGGTTATCATCAGATCCCGCTG